ACCACCCAACCACCTCCACAAGCAACACATTCAAGGAGTGGACTCAGTGGGTACCAGAGCTCTGCTGAACCAAGTCTTGCTCTGTATGGTGGTCCCCTGCACAGCTGGTCCCCCAAGGTAGTCAGAGGTCAGTGGTCAGGGGGCACAGCCAGCCCTTGCAGCTTGAAAAGCCTGAGTAAATCCCCCCCATTGATGTGCCAACAGCAATCAGGACTCAATTACAACAGAAGGGTGTACAGTCCACACGAGGGGTTCACCTTGAGGGCCCAGCTGGGGTGTCCAGGGAGGCTGTGCCACTAGACCCTACAGGACACCTACTATAATAGGCCCCCTACATAGCCTAGGAGATAGCAATTCTACATAGGAACAAACACAGGGAGGCAGCCAAAATTTGACAGAGAAACATGTCCCAAATGAAAGAACAGAACAAAACTCCAGGAAAAGAACTAAATGAAATGAAGATAAGCAATCTAACAGATGTAGAGTTCAAAACATTGGTTATAAGAATGCACAGTGAACTTTGTGAGGGCCTCAGGAACATAAAAAAGGACCAGTCAGAAATGAAGGATGCATAGTCAGAAATTAAGAAGGCACTAACTGAAATAAAGAATAATTTACAGGGAATCAATAGTAGAGTATGTAAAGCCAAGAAACATACTATCAATTTGGAATATAAGGAAGCAAAAAAACCCCAATCAGAACAGCAAAAAGAAAAAAGAATCCAAGAAAATGAGAACAGGAGTCTCTGGGACAACTTCAAGTGTACCAACATTCGCATCATGGGGGTGCCAGAGGAGAAGAGGGAGAGCAAGAGATTGAACATCTGTTTGAAAAAAATAATGACAGCCCTGGCTGGTTTGTCTTAGTGGTTGGAGCGTCAACCTGCGGACCAGAGTCTCGGGTTCGGTTCCCGCTAGGGGCACGTACCAAAAAGAAAAAAGAATGACAGAAAACTTCCTTTACTTGGTGAAGGAAACAAACATACAAGTCCAGGAAGCACAGAGTCCCAACCAAGACACATCATAAAATGCAGAAAGGTTAAAGACAGAGAGAATCTTAAAAGAAGCAAGAGAAAAGCAGTTAGTAACCTACAAGGGAGTCCCATAAGGCTGTCTGGTAATTTTTTTTTTTTATCCTCACCCGAGGACATTTTTTGCATTTATCTTCGGATAGAGCCGGGGGGTGGGGGTGGGGGGTGGCACGGGACACTGATGTGAGAGAAGACACATTGACTGGTTGCCACCCACACAACCCCAACCAGGGCCGGGGACAAACTGCAACCAAGGTACATGCCCTTAGCAGGAACCGAACTTGGGACTCTCTGGTCTGTAGGCAGACACTCTAACCGCTGAGCCAAACTGGCCAGGGCTGTCTGCTGATTTCTCAACTGAAATTTTGCAGGCCAGAAGGGAGTGGCATGAAATATTCAAAGTCATGAAAAGCAAGACCTACAACCAAGATTACTCTGTCCTGCAAAGCTATCATTTAGAATTGATGGACATATAAAGAATTTTCCAGATAACAAAAAGCTAAAGGGGTTCATCACCACCAAACCGGTATTATATGAAATGTTGAAGGGTGTTCTTAAAGAAAAAAAGTGTCGAAAATATAAACAATAACCTGGCCAGTGTGACTCGGTGGATTGAGTGTCGTCCCATGGACTGAGAGTTTTCCATTCGATTCCAAGTAATGGCACATGCCCAGGTTGCGGGCTCGATCCCCAGTGGAGAGGCAGCAGATCGATGTTTCTCTCTCTCATTGATGTTTCTATCTCTCTCTCCCTTCCTCTTTCTCTAAAAAATCAATAAAAACATGAACAAATAAAATGGCAATAAATACATATCTATCAACAATTGAATCTGCAAACAAAATGAACAAACATAACAGAAACAGACTCATAGATACAGAGAACATTTTGTTGGTTGCCAGTTGTGGGGCTGGAGATTGAGTGAAAAAGGTGAAGGGATTAAAAAGTACAAATTGGTTGTTAGACTGACAAACCTCAAAGGGAAGGGGGAAGGGAGGGGGAAAAGAGATAAACCAAAGAACTTCTATCATATATGCATAACCAATGGACACAGACAATAGTGTGGGCAAGGCAGGAGCAGGGTGGGAGTGGGGAGGAGGGTGTCAATAGGGGGAAAAGGGGGGACATCTGTAATAATTTCAACAATAAAGATAAGTTTAAAAAAATAAATAATAAATAAGTATACTTTAATTTACCCAATGCAACATGCCATAGGCTGGCTTTTGCTTTCACTTGAATTGTGAACCTAATCTGGGCATAGAAATCCACTTTTTTTGTTTGCACTGTGTTTTTTGGAAAGTCCTAACAATCTACCAAAATTCAAACATGACCCTAAAATGCTTTTGTTGACATTTTCACTTTTTATTTATTAATTGCTTTTAGAGAGAGAGAGAGAGAGAGAGAAACATTGATTTGTTGTTCCACTTATTTATGCATTCATTGGTTGCTTCTTATACATGCCCTGACCAGGGTTCTAACTAGCAACGTTGGTGTGTTGGGAGGATGCTCTAACTAACTGAGCTATTCAGCCAGGGTGACATTCTTTACAATAGTCTAGTTTGTGCAGATTTTATGGGAACCATGCCTGTCTTTGGAGACTTACAAATACTGGTTGATTTCACGTAAATGCAAAACATTTCATTCCTGAATTTAGTTGGAATGTTGAATTCAGTGATTATCTTAAGAATTTTTAGGCTTAAATAAATAACAGATAATTTATTTTCTTTAACCCTAGCAGTGAAAATAATAAATAGAAAATGCATGCTTTTGTTTAGTCTGTATTTTTCAACCATAATTTGTAAAGGGATAAAATAAATAGATGGGGAACCTATAGATTAAAAAAGACTTCAGACATGTGTCCTTCAGTTACACTTTATGTGGACCCTTTAGTAACCTGATTCCGACAAACTTTTTTTTAAAAATTATAATTATCAATTTGTATTCTGACTTGGTATTTGATATTAAAGAAGTATTATATATTTAACTTTATTGAGTATAATTGACAAATATAATTGCAACATGTTCAAAAGTACACTGTGGTGATTTGATTGATATACATTGTGAAAGGATTTCCACTGTCTGGTTAATTAACACATCCATCACTTCATATATTTATCTTTTGAAGGGGGAGGAGTGAGAACATTTAGGTTCTACTCTCAGAAAATTTCAACTGTGTAAGACAGTGTTACCAACTATAGTCATAGAATTATTATATTTTTTGGAGTGATAATTGTGTTCATATTCACTCTTTAAGTTATCATTTAGAGACACGACATTGAGATATTTATAGGTAAAATGATATGATCTAGAATTTGTTTCAAAATAATATGGGCACTGGTAAGTGGGTGGGAAGTATAGATGAAACAAGATTGGCTAATTGTTGAAACTCGGTGATGATACATGGGATGCATTATAGTGTTCTATTTATATATTTTTAACATCCATAATGAAACATTTAAATTTAAAATATATATAGTCAGTAAATTGCCTAGTTAGCATAGATAGAGCTTGTTGGAATTTTTTTTTTTATCTATCAGCCTCTATAATCACTAGTTTCTGCTGGCCTAGTAACTGTCAGGGTCATCTAGTCCACTAATGGGCTCTCAGTTTCTCAGACAAATCACTGTTGGCCCATTAATAGTCACCTTATACTTACTCTGCTGGTCTTGCTTTGTAGCTAACTGCAGTGACTCCATTTGTCAAGTAGAACATACAGTTCAGAGGAGTCCCTCTCATTCTGGTGATTTGAGGTAAAAAAGTTGAAGCAATATTTTGCTTTAATCTTTGATTTAGGTATATTAGCTCCCTAAAATTTTCTATCTGGTTTTGGAGTATTTATAAATTAGGAAATACAGTATTGAGGAGTTTTTAGCCAAATATAATACATAGAGGACTTAAAAACATTTACAAAATTACTTTTCTCACAAATGAAAAAGAATGTAAAATATTTCAATAACAATGAGCCCAGTTTATTAGTATTTATTTGTTAATATTTATTCACAAATGAATCATTACCTTCTTAGGTCATCATTTTTATTTAGTATTGTTTAGTTTTTGACCATTTCTTTTCTTTTTATAAAAAATATTTTTTCTTTTTATTGATTTCAGAGAGGGGAAGGGAGAGGGAGAGAGAGAGATAGAAACATCGATGAGAGAGAGCATCGTTTGGCTGCCTCCTGCATGCCCTCCACTGGGAATCAGGCCCACAACCTGGGCATGTGCCCTGACCAGGAATTGAACCAGTGACCTCTTGGTGCATGGGTCAATGCTCAACCACTGAGCCACACTGGCCAGGCGACCATTTTTTTTCTTTATCAGTTTTGATGACGTAAAGAGAAAGAAGGTAGCCTATCAAACCCTGTGTTCCATACCTATGAAAGACCATCATTGTTTAGAGAGTCCTTTGCATTTCCAAGATTTTACTCATTGGGAAGAGATGCCATTTTTTAACGTCTCTGTGCTTGCTGAATTAATGTTTGGTCATGAATAGCCCTCTTATAAAAAGATTAAGGTGGGTTAGCAGCAAATTACATTTTGAAAAAATAGATTTTAGTTAAAATGTGATGTTCTTGTTTTTGTGAGTTTTTTTTTTTAAGAAAAATATTTTATTTGTAAGAACAATAGGCTTATATATTTTGTTTTGCTGATTTGGTATGGGGAGATTATGTGTGGTCACTTAAATAATGAGTCAAAGTGATAGATACGTAGAAGTCTTAATGTGTTAGGACATTCTTAGATATATAGGGGAGATGTTAGTGAACTTCCTCTATCTACCTGTTTTTTCTGTTAGTTGTAAATTTGGGTGAAGCTTAAATTTTTAGTGAGTTTGGTGACATTAAACCCGAGGTGAGTGACAGTCTTGGATATTTTGATATCTGGGACACCATTTCTTATCTAAGATCATAATGTTTCTTATAAAATGTGCGTTTGTTTTCTATTACATTCCTATTTTTTTCTCCTTTTTACACTTTAGCTGGCAATTCTTTGGTACAACAAGGTGGACAACCGCTGATCCTAACCCAGAATCCAGCCCCAGGTCTGGGCACAATGGTTAGTCAACCAGTATTGAGGCCTGTCCAGGTCATGCAGAATGCCAATCATGTGACTAGTTCTCCTGTGGCTTCACAACCAATATTCATCACTACCCAGGTGAGTAGGACTCTGAATTCTGGGACTGGTAGATAGGAGAGAAAGACTATGTGAACCTTTGGAGTCTCTGACTTAGAGTCTTTAGCATTATTAGAAATGGTTCTAAGTCCTGTCTTTTGACCTGGCTTTCTCATTTGTTGTTTTGTAATTTGATGCTGACTTTTGTAGAAAGCCTAACATGGCTTACAGCTGGGTAATTTCCTCTTCATACCCCTTAGAGGGCTATTAAGTCATTTGAGGTCTGGGCAGAAATTAGTGGGAAAACTTGGATTCAGAAACCTTAACATTTGGCCCTCAAGGCTTCTTGTCCTTGCTTGGGCTGCTTTTCTTAAAATAGGGTAATTTGACTTTTGGAAGTCTATTTGTGAAATTGGTGAAGTGTGGACAGATCTTTGGAAGAGAAGAAAGATGACTTATTTGATAAATAATGTGAATTAAAGTTGAAAGCCTAATGCTTATGTGGAATGTAAAGGCAAAAATGCTTCTCTTTGCCTTTGGCTTCCTAAGTTACAAACTCTTCTCTTAGAAATTTGCCAGGGATTTATGGCCTTTGAAGTGGACTTTAGGAACAATTTCTTAAAATTGTTTGTTGGTTGAACCATTCTAGTGAATACTGTTAGTGTCATTTTTTTTTTTTCCCCTTCTATGCCTTTAGCAATTTAGGGGCCAATCTTTGATTTAATTTTTTTAAACTGAGATTTTCTTAAAACAGGAAGTAGGTTTTCATTTTTCTCATATGTAACAAAGCTTGTTCTTCAATTTTGATATTTTGTCACTCAAAAGTTTGCCAGAATTCCTAAATTTCTCCATCTTAGTCATTTAAAAACTCTAACTCTAGAGAGAGAGAGACCATTAGATAAGAGTGTGGGAATTTTTTTGGATGTCGGCCTTACTGCAGTCTCTGCTAGTGTTAGCTGATCTCCTTGTTAAAGATCATTTTGCTTTTTAATGCAGGGATTTCCTGTAAGAAATGTCCGGCCTGTACAAAATGCAATGAATCAGGTTGGGATTGTGCTGAACGTACAGCAAGGCCAAACGGTTAGACCAATTACACTAGTCCCAGGTAAGGAAAAATGTCTGTCCATGTATAATAAACTCGCATCCTGAAGATTTGTTTTTATTGTCTCAAAATATTCCAGGTCATTTAAAAATTGTATTTAAGGAAAATCTAAAATTATAAAATTCATATTGATTGAAGTCTATTTTTTTGAAAACTATTTCTAACCTTTGGCCAGGGTGGTGGTTTTATTTATTTATTTTTAACTTTTTACCACCCTTCATGAAATAGTAAAACAGGGTTTACACAGTCATTTTTATGTTTCTCATGTTTTAGTCAGCTATGAAGTTTGTTCTCCTGAATAATTATTATTAATGCAAACTCCCAAATTTCATATTCCTTATAATTCTACTCTTATACATGCTAGGATAATAAACTTTATTTTGCTTTAATTTTAGTATAGATTTTTGGATATAAATTAAACAAATAACATATCCTTTGAGGATAAATATTGCCAATGAGTAGTTAGTATTTCTTTTTAAGTCTTGTAATTTCCCCCCAGTTCCTTATTTAGTACCTAACTTCATTATAATTCAGGCCAAAAAAGAATATCTTAGTTGAGTTGTTGTAAGGGTATCTCTGTAGCTTGTCTTCGGAGCCCACAGAGTGTTGTTGTTCTTGGAGCCCACAGAGAATTTTGGCCTTCAGTCTGTTGAGCTTATCAGCTATCTAGTTCTGATATTTCCTAAATGTATGTCAGTGGAATTGTCTGTAGCTGAGCCAGGAGACTCTCATCTTTGAGACAACCTAGTAGAGTGACATAGCTGTTCTTCTGTTTGAATTTATATAAGAGAATAGAAGACCTCTTTGGTATTCTGAGAAAGATTGCTTTTTTTAGGACCAAGTCTACCCTTTGGACCTATATATACTCATACTGCCTCCCACTCTATACCCATTTTTTCTCTTCTAATACCAAGGTCAAGCTCCTTTTATCATATTCTTAGAATAGAAAAGGCAGTGTGGTAAAGTGTTTTGGGAGGATTGATGGGACTCTTCTTTCTTTAGTTTAATCTTTTTAGGGCTGGTTATCTAAACTAATTTCTTTTATCAGCTTGCATGCCTGTTATCTTCTTAAATATTAGAATCTAAGATATTCTTGGTAACCTCTGATGGTCACCAGTCAGTTTGGGGAAATGATAATTTTCTATGCCAGTATTTCCAGTAAAGACAGGGGCAATGTATTATAGGTGAGCTTATTGACCAAGATTTGGTACTTTTCTTTGTCTCTCTTTTGAAGCTCCAGGTACCCAGTTTGTTAAGCCGACAGTTGGAGTCCCACAAGTGTTCTCTCAGATGACCCCAGTGAGGCCAGGCTCCACAATGCCTGTGCGGCCCACCACCAACACCTTCACCACTGTCATCCCAGCCACTCTCACCATTCGAAGCACCGTCCCACAGTCCCAGTCCCAGCAGACCAAGTCCACTCCCAGCACTTCCACCACTCCTACCGCCACACAGCCAACCTCATTGGGGCAACTCGCTGTTCAGCCTCCAGGCCAAGCCAACCAGACCTCAAATCCCAAGCTAGGTGAGGTTTGGGAAGAGGAGACGGTAGAGCTGGATGGGGTGGTGGGTGGAGAACAGATGATTATCACTTGGCCAACATAGCTCCCTCCTTCCCCTCTCCACCTGCAGTGAGCATTACCAGCTTTGTCACTGTGAAGCGACCTGGGGTTACAGGTGAAAATAGCAATGAAGTGGCCAAACTGGTGAATACCCTTAACACCATCCCTTCCCTGGGCCAGAGTCCCGGGCCAGTGGTGGTATCCAACAACAACTCTTCCCATGGCTCTCAGAGAACCAGCGGACCTGAGTCTTCAATGAAAGGTACAATAACCTGAAAGACTCTGAGCAGCCAATTATTTAAAAAACAATAATAAATATATGTTGTATCAGAACTTTATACTATGAAATAGAGAAATAATATAGAATATAGTTGCTACAATCTGTTCTCACAGAAACTTTAGTATAGTAAAGGGGATAGCCATTTGTGAAAAGTAACTGAATCAACTACAAGGAATTCTGTAATTGTACTTTGCAGATTAGTGAAATGGATCGATTGATCAGATATGGGTGGGTCAATCAAAAGGTGGCTTCATAGATGAGATGGATTTCTGAACAAGGTTTTAAAGTCAGGATTTGGTAGAGAGGTTTGCAGGTATAGAAAGATATGAGGATGAGGTTTTTTTTGTTTTTTTTTTTGTTTTTTGGTGGTACATGCCCCTAGCGGGAACCAAACCCAGGACTCTCTGGTCCAAAGGCCAACGCTCAACCGCTGAGCCAAACTGGCCAGGGCGAGGATGAGGGTTTTTAACAGTCTAGAGTAGGGGTAGGCAAACTTACTCTGTAAATATGTTAGGTCTTATGCACAATGTGGTCTATGTCACAACTACTCAACTCGACCGTTGTGGTTCAAATGCAGCCACAGATAATATGAAGGGGAGTGAGCATGACTGCTTCACCAAGACTATCTATGGACTCTGAATTTTGAATATCATTTAATTTTCATGTGTCCAAAGATCTTATTCTTTTTTTGCTTTTATTTCAACCATTTAAAAATGTAAAAACCTGTAAGCAAATGGTGTTGGGAGAAACGATTATCCACATGAAAAAAATGGAAGTTGGACCCTTACCATATATAAAAATTAACTGAGTGAATCAAAGACCTAAACATGGAGCTAAAACTATAAAACTCTTAGAAGAAAACACGGGGGGAAAGCTTCATGATATTGGATTTGGCAGTGATTTTTTGCATATGACACCAAAAACACAGGCAACAAAAGAAAAAAGAAAAAAGTAAGACTACATCAAAACTAAAGTCTTCAGGGCAACAAACGACTCTCAACAGTACCGAAAAGGCAAGCCACTGTATAGGAGAAAATATTTGTAATCAAATACCTGATAAGAGATTAATGTCCAGAATACATAAAGAACTTCTACAACTTCACAACAAAAGAACAACCATTCAATTCAAAAATGGGCAAAGGTGTTGAATAGACCTTTCTCCAAAGAAGATTTATTATACTGAGCCCATGAAGCGATACTAAACATCACAAATAATTAGGGAAATATAAATCAAAACCACAATGAGATACCACTTCACAGCCATTAGGATGGCTATTATCCGAAAAGCAAAATAACAAATGTTGGTGACGATGTCAAAAAAGTGGAACCATTGTGCTGTGCTGGTGGGAATGTAAAATAGCGTGATTTTTACTACTGATAATGATATTTAAAAAAAAAGAAAAAAGAAACAAAATTACCATATGAGCCCTGGCCAGGTAGCTCAGTTGGTTAGAGCGTCATCCCAATATGCCAAGGTTGCGGGTTCCATAGCCAGCCAGGGCACATACAAGAATCAACCAATGAATGCATAAGTAAGTGGAATAAATTGGTGTTTTTCTTCCTTTCTCTTCCTCTCTTTCTCTCTCTCAAATCAATTAAATAAATAAATAAATAAATAAATAAATAAATAAATAAATAAATAAATGAAATTTTTTAAAAAATCACCACATGGGTAATATATCTAAAATAATTGAAAGCATGGACCCAAACTGACATTTGTGCACCCATCTTTATAGCAGCATTATTCATAATAGCCAAGAGGTGGAAGCATGTCAGATGTCCTTCAACCTATGAATGAATAAACAAATGTGGTATATACATAAAATGTATACTGTTCAGCCTTTAAAAGAAAGACGTTCTGACACATGCTGTAGCATTCATGAACCTTGAGGCCATGATGTTAAGTGAGCCAGTCACAAAGGATAAATACTATATGATTCCACTATGTGAGGTACCTAGAGTAGTCAGATTCACAGAGACACAAAGTAGAGAAAGGTGATTGCCAGGATGAGTGGGGAATGGGGAGTTAATGGGTATAGAGTTTTATTGCAAGATGAGAAAACTTCTGGAGATTGCTTGCACAACATTGTGAATGTACTTAACACAACTGTACACTTAAGATTGGTTAAGAAGTAAGTTGTATGTAATGTATCTTTTACCATAATCAAAGAAAAAAAACAACAAAAAGTAAAAGTCATTCTTAGCCCATGAGCCAAACAAACTGGCTGCTGGCTAGATTTGGTCTATGAGCCATAATTTACTGACCCTTGGTGTAGAGTTAGAAGAATGGTAAAAGAAATTACCCTCATAGTGATCTTTCATGCTTGCCTACCAACCTTGATATTGCCTCTCGTGGAGTGTAACCTTTTTCCAAAAGGCCAGTAATATTACCCAGTATCATCTTATTAATCTTATCAATGCTTCTCACTTCTTCCAGTGACCTCTTCCATCCCCACGTTTGATCTCCAAGATGGTGGCCGGAAAATATGTCCACGGTGTAATGCTCAATTCCGTGTAACTGAAGCTTTGAGAGGTCACATGTGTGTAAGTGATATCACTTGTGATGGGGATCCCGTTTAAAGAGCTACCACTGTATACCTATCACATTAGGAGCTTGTGAAGCAGGGACTTGAAAATGACTTGGAAGCTTTTTAAAGAGTCGCTTTGTCTTTTGAACTGTTTTAGAAGAGTTATATACTGTGAAATGTCATAGGATACATTTTAAAACCCTGAAATAGATCAGAATTTATGCATCCTTAATTCCTTAGTTGTGGTAGATTTTGAAACTGCACATGTCAAGTGTGTTAGATAACCAGAACTCAAACCAAGTTGGCCTCAGTTCATTTTCTGCTTATGTGTCATTGATGAATTAGGAGCTGTTAACCAGTTCCCATTTCTAACCTTTTTGTTTTTTGATATTAGTCTAGATGCAGAGGTTGGAACTTCTTCCTGCCAGAGAGCTCAGAACCAAATTATGCTAGTGAATGGTTACAGGAGCTAAAGCAGGAAGGAGAAGTACAAGATAAGGTGTTTGGAGTGGCATGTGGCTGTCAATACATATACACTAGAAAAAAAGTGACACTTGGAAGTACTATGGAGAACTTGAGGGTGAAAGCTGGATGAGACCACCTAGAATCAAACTTAGTCAATGAATATTAGTGAAGTTGGGGAGTTAGCACACTCTAGCCCCCAGGATAACCAGAATGATTAGAGGTCATCTTTCTTTATAGTACTGTTGCCCAGAAATGGTTGAATACCAGAAGAAAGGAAAGTCTCTGGATTCAGAACCCAGTGTCCCATCAGCAGCAAAGCCCTCATCCCCTGAGAAAACAGTTCCTGTTGCTTCCACACCCTCTTCAACACCAATTCCTACTCTGTCACCACCTACCAAAGTACCAGAGCCAAATGAGAATGTGGGTGATGCTGTTCAGACCAAGCTCATTATGCTAGTAGATGACTTCTACTATGGACGGGATGGTGGCAAAGTAGCCCAACTCACAAACTTCCCTAAGGTCGCTACATCTTTCCGATGCCCACATTGTACCAAAAGGCTAAAAAACAACATCCGGTAAGTGTTAAAGAGCCTTGGAGGTTACCTTGGACAAGAAACGAATGAAATTTTCCTAATATGTTTAAGTCTTTCTTTGTCTTCGGAGAAAGACTTACCTAAATTTTAGCTATTATATCCAGTCTTAGCTAAGGATTATCATTAAATCATAGTTAGTACAATAGAAGGACATATTGTAGTAATAAATAAAAAATAACTGGGTAGAGTGAGGGAGACCAGTGTATCTCCTTCCACAGAAGTCTTAGTTTCAAGAACCCTTTTCTGGGTTCTTTAAGAGAGGAAGTGGAGAGGGCGGGAGGAGCAGGTAAGGTCTGTTTTGTGATTCTGCTGTTACATGTCTCCAAGGCTGTTGATTTTTATGTTTTCTGTACTTTCTCTTTGTGCTATACTACAGATTCATGAACCATATGAAACACCATGTAGAACTTGATCAGCAGAATGGTGAAGTGGATGGTCATACTATCTGCCAACACTGTTATCGCCAGTTTTCTACTCCCTTTCAGCTCCAGTGTCACTTGGAAAATGTTCATAGTCCTTATGAATCAACTAGTAAGTTTGGAAACTCAAATTCTAAGGATATACTTAGCTCTTTATCATTAAATGGCAGTAGGGGGAGCTGTTTATATTTATTTATATGTGGGTGACAGTGTAGAGGAAGTTCTTTGCCTATTTGTAGTCAATTCCTTACCTCACTTGCCCTGTTTTCTTTCAAGCCTGACTTATGTTCTATTCAGCATAAATTGAGTTCAGTGCTAGATCCTGAATTAGTAGGGGCTTTGGTTTAGGGACCACTGGAGAAAGAAACATAGTGGATTATTACCTAGATCCTTTTATAGAAGGAACATGTATATTTGGACCTCCATTTTAGTTGGTCTCCTGATGGGGTTTATGTAGGTTAAAAGATAATATTTATTATAAAGTACTTTACAATTGAGAACAGTGCCTTCAAAAAATTTAGTCATTTACTTAGGACCATATGCCTTAGTAAGATGACATTATGAGAATTTGACCCCGGTCTTCTAGAATATTTTCTGTGTCCATTAAGAGAGTCCTTGTTTTGTCGAAGACATAAACACTATATAAATATAGGAAAATGTAAGAACAACACAGTATATTTATTATAAATATAAGCATGGTATGTTTCACCATGAGTTGGTGAAACTGTTCAGAGAAGGGAAAAAATCCTTGTGGCCAGATTGCACAGAAAGTCATGCTTAAGTTTTTAGGGTCTTTAAATACAAGAAGGGTTTACATGGATGGTAAGTAGTAAGAAAAGCTTTTAGGTGATGGGAAAAGCATGAGCACAGGTGTAAAGACCAGAAACATGCATAGCATGTGGATGCTTTTGCGGCAAGTTAAAATTCTTGACTAACGTAATTAAACAATAAGGACATCTGTCATTTAACTGAGAGGGCTTGAAGCTTCTCTGTTTCTCTTGTCTCTGGCGGTGTTAATCTTAGGCATTACATTCAGACACAAAATTGTATGGGTAAAGAAGAGACCATGTCTTCCCTGAATCTGTTTCTTACACGGCAGAATTGCTTTTCCTTTATACTTCCTTGGCCTTGGTCATATTTGCAAGGGGGATGGGATTGCCATGAGTGGCTTGAACTGGTACTGGTCAAATATGTGAGCTACACATGTAATTTAAATTTTTTAAATAGCCATTTTAAATAAAGTTTTAAAAAGCTGAAATTAATTTTAATAGTATATTTTATTCACCTCATATCCAAAATAGTTATTTTAGCATGTAATCACAATTTATTATTATTTTTTTATTACTATTATTTTTTTATTCTCACCGGAGGACATTTTTCCATTCTTTGTTCATATAGAGCGGGAGGGAGAGAGAGGAAGAGAGAGAGAGAAACATTGATGTGAAAGGGACACATCGAGTAGTCGCCACCCGCACGACCCAACCAGGGCCAGGGACAAACTGCAACCGAGGTACATGCCCTTAGCAGAAATTGAACCCGGGTCTCTCTGGACCATAGGTCGACGCTCTAACCGCTGAGCCAAACCTTAAACATTAATGAGATAGTTAACGTTTTTCCCAGTAAAGAGCAGATTTTTTTTTTTTTTAATCCTCACCCGAAGATACTTTTTCCATTTTTTGTTCAGCTAGAGTGGGACGGAGAGAGAGGAACAGAGAGAGAGAGAGAAACATTGATGTGAAAGGGACATATCAAGTGGCTACCACCCGCACAACCCAACCAAGGCTGGGGACAAACTTGCAACCAAGGTACGTGCCCTTAGCAGGAACCACATATGGGTCTCTCTGGACCGCAGGCCGACGCTCTAACCACTGAACCAAACCAGCCAGCGCTAAAGGGCAGATTTTTAATATTGTGGTAAGTTTGCATGGTAACAGATGATTGCTAGACTTAGTGTGATGATCACATTGTAAGATTTATAAATGTTGAGTTACTATATATTATACGCCTGAAACTAATATTGTATACCTACTAAAATTAAAAAAAGAAAAGAAAATTAGCCCTGGCTGTTATGGCTCAGTTGGTTGAGCATCCTCCCATGCACTGAGGGGTTGCTCGTTCAACTTCTGGTCAGGGCACATGCCTGGGTTTCGAGCTCAATCCCCAGTTGGGGGCTGTGTATGAGGTAGCCAGTCTGTGTTTCTCTCTCACGTCGATCTCTCTAAAAATAAAAATATATTTAAAAAATGGAAAATAGATTTTTTAAAAATCTGGTATATATATTACACTCACAGCAAATCTCACTTTGAGCTTTCCACATTTCAGGTGTCCATGAGCAACATGTCACTGGTGGTTACCATACTGGACAGTGAAACTTTGGACTAATCATTTGGGATTGATGTAGATACTGAAATCAACCAGTGTAGTGGCAAGAGTAGCCAATTTGGTCTAGGATAGGACCCCAAATTCTTCACTGTCAGTGATAGGAATCCTGAATAACTCACCTGCACATCCCAGTGAAAATACCTAGCTCATTTTAATATTGAATCTGGTCAGTGGGTTTTTGTGTGTCTATTTATGCATGGACTGTACATAGCAAAGATAAGTGGAAGTTATTTCTTTTTTTTTAATCTTTACCCAAGGATATTTTTCCATTTATTTATTTTTTTTCAGATAGAGTGGGAGGGAGGGAGGGACAGGGAGGGGGAAAGAGAGAGCGAGAAACATCAATGTGAGAAAGAGACATCGATTGGTTGCCTTCTGCAGGACCCTGACCAGGGCCAGGGATCAAACCTACAACAGTCCGTGGGCTGACACTCTAACCACTGAGCCAAACTAGCCAGGGCTGGAAGTTATTTCTTTATGGAAAGAGGAAACAATACAGAATCTCTTCCGTCTTTCACTTGACTTACCATTCTGTTATCCCTGACTTTTAGTTGTTGAGTATCTTATGACTTAAAATTTACACAAATTGAAATTTGAGAAATTGTTTAACCAAGCAGTAAATACCTTTTATATACTTTAGTATATCTCAATTTTATTATTAGATTCTTTTGTAACTCCCTTTTCTGCACCCAAGGCAGATCCTGAATGAAAAAGCTTATTTTTTAATGTTAATATTTTGGGACCCACTACTTTCTTTTCAGTTTAGAAATTTCTTTAATTTTCTAGTGTTTTTAAATTGAATTATGGATATAATGACATTTTGTTCCTAAATGATTTAGTATGTGTCTCTAAAAAGTGAGGACATTTTTCTCTGTATAGCCATAGTACCTGTGTCAAGACTTAACAACATAAAACTTTAATATTATCTAATACCTAGTTTCCTTTTCTAATTTCCTGAATTGTCCCTAAAATATAATGGATCAGTATATTTAATTATGGTAACAATGTAATCTTAATAGCATTGTGTTTTTCTTCATACTTGTTTAAGGGCAGAAAACTGAGGAAGAGGTAGAATTGAGAGAATGCTTCAGGGTGCTTAACCAAATTCAAGTGTTGGGAGGATACTGTATAGTAAAAGACTCCAGAGAGGGAAGATTAATCACTTGATAAAATCTTGGAACACATGGAATGATGATATTGGATGAGCCTTAGAAAGGCATAAGGACTCTATCCTTCTGTAATTTGGAGAATAGGAAGCAGAAACTACAGTAGTTTACAGTACACCTCTTTATCAAAGTAAGAGACGGGTTAAATGTTAAGATGGTGAGGGTAATGGTGCTGGGAGGGACAGTGTTAGGATAGTCACTTTGGAAAATCAAGTCTCCCTCTTGAATCTTTTCCACACCAGCTTCTTCCCCTGTCCAACAGATGTGAAAAGATTATGAGAGATCTTTTAAATCCACTATATCTTAGATTCCTATCGCACAGATTTTCTTGGTATATAAGATAATATGCATAAATCTTAGCGTGGTATTTGTGCATTAGAAATTGCTTTATATTATTATGGACGTTATGTGACAGCAGTAACAATAGAGCTTGATACGTAGGTAATAAGAAAAGCCTTCGAGGTTGAGATTGTCCGTGGAAAACATGTAGTATAAGGGTTGGACAGCAGGTTGCAAAACACCCATGTTTTGAGGAGTTCTAGAAAAGAAAAAAACAAGTGGAACGAATGAAATTAAAAGATAAGGGGACAGAACAGGAGAAAATATTGTGCCACTAGTTATGGTTTTCCAAACATGCCATGCACTTCCATACCTCCATGCCTTTGCTCCTGTTCTTCTCTTGGCTCTTCTGACTGCAAACTCCTATTTTTCTTTCAAGGTTCAGCTTATATAGCTTACAGCTTTTCCTCATTCCTCTAGGCAGAGTGTTTCATGTCTGTATATGTCCTCGTAGCACCTAATGTACCTTTAGGCAGTGGTTCTATATAGGTTTCAAACCCCTTTGAGCATGAACACAAAACTTGTGAATTATCTTCCTAGAAAAATAGACATTATTCTTTTCTACAAATAATTTCAGAGGATACTTGGATTTCCTGAGACCTCATTTCTGGACTCCAGATGAAAACACCCTGGGTGTTTTACTTTAAAGAATTATCTTGACTTCACTCATCTTTGGGGTGGGGGGGCAGGGATTGGACATTGTCCAGTAAATGTTTATTCAAATTTATAATTTCCATACTTGCAGAAACTTGAAAATAATCTCAGTGACAGTAAAAATATAAATAACCACCTTTATTTTGCTTATATAATTGAAATATGTAGGTTAAATTAAAAATGTTACCAAAAATTCAGAATTGCAGCCCTATAAGCTTAACAAAATGGTCAGTTACAAAGTTATCTTAAATTTGTTAATACTGTGATAACACAACTGATAACAAGGCAAGAACTTCTGTTCATGATTCTCAGTTGTTTTTTTTAAACATCTTTATTGTTGTATGTATTACAGATGACCCCTTTTTATCCCCCATTGACCCCCTCCCCAATCCTGTCCCCCTCCTGCCTTCCCCACACTATTGTTTGTGTCCATTGATTATGCATATATGCATAGAAGTTCTTTGGTTTATCTCTTCCCGCCCTCCCTCCCCCCTTCCCTCTGAGGTTCATCAGTCTGACTGACAACCAATTTGTACTTCTTAATTCCTTCATCTTCATCACCCATCCCCCCAACCCCCTCCCATTTGGCAAGCAGCAAAAACTTCTCTGTATCTATGAGTCTGTTTCTGTTCTGCTTGCTCATTTTGTTTGTAGATTCAGTTGATAGATATGTATTTATTGCCATTTTATTGTTTATGTTTTTATTCTCCTCCTTTAAGAAGACCCTTCAACATTTCATATAATACTGGTTTGATGGTGATGAACTCCTTTAGCTTTTTTTTTTTGTCTGGGAAACAATTTATATGTCCATCGATTCTAAATGATAGCTTTGCAGGATAGAGTAATCTTGGTTGTAGGTTGTTGCTTTTCATCACTTTGAATATCTCTTGCCACTCCTTTCTGGCCTGCAAAGTTTCTTTTGAGAAATTGACTGACGTCTTATGGGCGCTCCCTTGTAGGTAACTAACTGCTTTTCTCTGGTTGCTTTTAAGATTCTCTCTTTGGCCCTGGTTGGTTTGGCTCAGCGGTTAGAGCGTCGGCCTGCGGTCCTGAGAGACCCGGGTTCAGTTCCTGCTGAGGGCACGTACCTTGGTTGCAGTTTGTCCCCGGCCTTGATTGGGTCATGCGGTTGGCAGCCACTTGATGTGTCCCTTTCACGTTGATGTTTCTCTTTCTCCCTCCCACTCTATCTGAACAAAAAGTGGAAAAATGCCCTCGGGTGAGGATTTAAAAAAAAAAAAAAGATTCTCTCTGTGTTTAACCTTTGGCATCTTGATGGTGATGTGTCTTGGTGTGGACCTCTTCGGGTTCATTTTGTTGGGACTCTTTGTGCTTCCTGAACTTGGATGTCTGTTTCCTTTACCAAGTTAGGGAACTTTCCTGTTATTTATTTATTTTTTATCCTCACCCGAGGGCATTTTGGCATTTATCTTCAGATAGAGCAGGAGGGAGAGAGGGAGGAAGAGAGAGACACATTGACTGGTTGCCACCCACACAACCTTAAGTGGGGCGAGGGACAAACTGCAACCGAGGTACGTACCGTTAGTGGGAACCAAACCTGGGACTCTCCGGTCCACGAGCTGATGCTCTAACCGCTGAGCCAAACTAGTCAGGGCTCCTGTCATTAGTTTTTCAAATAGATTTTCAATTGCTTGCTCTTTCTCTTCTCCTTCTGGCATTCCAATGATGCGAATGTTGGTACGCTTGAAGTGGTCCCAGAGGCTCCTTACGCTGTTCTCATTTTTAAAAATTATTTTTGCTTTTTGCTGTTCTGATTGTGTGTTTTTTGCTTCCTTATATTCTAATTTGATGGTTTGCTTCTTGGCTTCCCCCTCTCTACTATTGATTCCGTGTAAATTATTCTTTATTTCAGTTAGGGCATCTTTCGTTTCTGACTGGGTTTTTTAAATGTTATTGATGTTCTCACTAAGTGTCTTGGAGGTCTCCTTAAGTTCCTTGAAAGTCTCACTAAGTTTCTTGAAGGTCTCATTAAGTTCCTTGAGCATCCTTATAACCAGTGTTTTGAACTCTGCATCTGATTGATTGCTTATCTCCATTTTGTTTAGTTCTTTTCCTGGAATTTTGTTTTATTCTTTCTCTTGGGACATGTTTCTTTGTCTCCTCATTTTGGCTGCTTCCCTTTGTTGTTTTTATGTATTAGATAGAGTTGCTATTTCTCCTAGACTTTGTAGGGTGGCCTATTGTTGTAGGTGTCCTGTAGGGTCCAGTGGCACAACCTCCCTGATTACCCCGGCTGGGCCCTTGAGGTGCACCCTTAATGTGGACTGTACACCCTTCTGTTGTGATTGAGTCTTGGTTGCTATTGTCCCATCAATGGGAGGGATTTACTCAGACTAATCAATTGCAAGGACTGGCTGTGCCCACTGACCATTGGCCTCTGACTCCCATGGAGGATCAGTGGAGTAGGGGCCCAACACACAGAGCAAGACTTAGTTCAGCAGGGCTTTGATACCCACCGAGTCCACCCATTGAGTGTGTCACTTGTGGAGGTGATTGAGTGGTGGTGCTTTGATGTAGTCTAAAGCTGTCCACTGAATGTGCTGGTTCTGGGGCAAGGTCAGCCACTGCCTGTGTTCTACCTGGGACCACCAGGCATAAGCTACAAAGTGATCTGCAGATGGATGCTTCTTGTGCTGGGCTTGGAGGTGCCCAGGTGAAGTAAAATTGTGAACCAAGGCTGGCTGCTTCTAGTGCCTGGCCTGGGGCCACTTAACGAGAGGTATGGGGGTTGCTGAGACCAGATGCTGCTTGTTTGAGAGAATTTAGGAAAATCTGAAACAGGAGCCAAGACAGGCCATTCCTGTGGTAAAGCCACTGGAAACAGCTTGGGTGGGCCTGAAAGTTGGGTGGGGCAGGGCCTCAGGGAATCACTAGGGCGGGGCAAACAGTGTGAGCCAGGTTGCTGGAGTCCCAGATATGGCTGCTGTCTGCCGCCCTTCACTTAAGGAACAACGGCCTCCCACAGCAAGTCTGTCCAGGAGAAAGCTGCCCCTCCAGCTCTCGCCCCAATGCCGAACAATTCAGTTCTTCCCCGTATGTCCCTGGCGCCCCCCAAGCTGCCTCTCCAACGCTGGAGCCCAGAAGGAGCTAGTCCAAGTAAGTCCATGTGTGGGCCCTTAAGAGGAATTGCCTGGGACTCTAGAAGCCTCAGCCTCCCTCAGCTTCAGTACCTGCTGGTTTTTACAGCCAGAAGTGATGGGGACTTCTCTTCCTGGCACTGGAACCCTGAGCTGGGAGCCTGATGTGGGACGGGGACCCCTTACCCCTCAGAGAGGACCTTCACAGCCGAGGTATCCTCCTGATTTTTAACCGCCACACGTGGGTGTGAGACCAGTCCGTCCACGCCTCCACCCCTCCTACCAATCTAGACGTGGCTTCTTTAATTTTGTAGTTGTAGCTTGATGTCAGGCTATTCTGAATGATGGTTGTTCTGTAGTTTGGTTGTAATTTTGATATGGTTGTGGGAGGAGGTGATACTGCGTTTACCTACATCGCTATCTTGACTGGAAGTTGATACTCAGTTTTTTTTAGGACAGATTCTTATTTGTACTAATTTAAGATGTTTAATAAATGTTTGTTGAATTATTCATAGGAGATACTCATTGTCTGTCCTTGAGCAAAAGAATTAAGTAATGCATTATTTTGAAAGAATTGATTTGGTAATGATATGAAAAAATAGATACTGTATTTATTGGCGAAATAGAAGGAATCAGAGTTTAGCCGATTAACAGTAGGAAATCGTCTGGGCTTCTACCAAGTTTGTGCCTGTAAGATTGGAGAAGTGGCAGTTCCTAGATGCATTTTGAAATAATGGTGTCAACACAGGGGTATGGAGTCAGAGATAGTACCTGTGTTTCAAGCTCAGGAAGAGATAGGATAGTGAGAAGAAAAACAGTGGGAAGCAGCAGGATGCTGCTTTGGTTAGATTTGATGGTGGAATGTCCAATTAAAAAGGTCTTGTAGGTAATTCAAAATCTAGAATGGAGCTTTGGTAAGAAGTCTGAGCTAGAGACAAGGTTAGTTGTTATCAGCTACACAGACAATAAGATGGAACCGTTTTAAAGAAAGAGACATTGATTTCCTATGTATGGAAAATGAAGGTATAGAACTCAGAAAATAGTGCAAGTCACGAGGACCTTGGTCTTATTTTCAGGTGGATTTATTAATTATTTTTCTTCTCACAGCCAAGTGCAAGATCTGTGAGTGGGCGTTTGAGAGTGAGCCACTATTTCTGCAGCATATGAAGGATACTCATAAGCCTGGAGAGATGCCTTATGTTTGCCAGGTATTGCCTTTCTCCCTAGAGAGCTTCAGCCCCTTTGCTCTCAGGCTGAAAACAAAGAATCCACTCATGACCATTGCTGAATACCCACCACACACACTCAGTTTTAGGAACACAGAGGAGATACATAAGAAATAGTAAACACAGGTCCTGTTTTCAGGATTCTCCACACAGGAGATAAACATAAAAGAACATATGCATGTAGTAGTGAGTATCTGTATTCTGAACTTGCCCTTTGGAGATGGACAGAGAAAACTTTGCTCTAGAGAACATGAATTGTTCTCAGACTTTCCTGTCTTTCCTCATTTTTATCTCAATTCATTGCTGATTTTTATCACAAAGTCAGAAAAATGACTTGATCTATACATTTAAGAAATTTTGTTTTCATATTTTAACATTTTTGTTGCTACCTCTTTTCTGAGGCCTCAGTTCTTGGCTTTACTCTTAGCTTACTTTGCCTCTTATGTGACTCAGGTGTGTCAATATCGCTCCTCACTCTACTCTGAGGTAGATGTTCATTTTCGGATGATCCATGAGGATACTCGGCATCTGCTGTGCCCGTACTGCCTGAAGGTCTTCAAAAATGGGAACGCATTCCAACAGCATTACATGAGGCACCAGGTATCAGGCACCAAGCAATGACCATATTCTTATTTCTAAAATTTATGGATGCTGGGATCAGGGCTGAGCTAGGGAAATGATTTTGATAGAAAAGAATATACTTGTGTTTGCAAAAGTTGATTGAATTTTGATTATATACATTGTACTAGGTTTAGGTGCTAAGAGATTTACTGGCAAGCAAGATAATTAAACAGTACAATAAAGCGTGAAGAATGTTTCTGTTAGGGGAAATACAGAACATAGAAAAGCATATATATATTCTGGGAGTCTAGTAAGGCTTCCAGGAAGAAGGGTGTTGAAGACCTGAATGAAGGATGAGTAAGGATGAGCCGGATGAAGTGGAACAGAACAGTGTGCTCAAAGGCACAGAGTGAGAGTATGGAGGTTCAAGAAGTTCATTGCGAAGTGTGGGGTACAGGGGCAGGTTGTCAGATAGGGTATAGATTATGGAGAACCTTATAAGCCATGAAAAGGAGTTTAAACATTATAATAAGTCATTGGGAAGCCATTGAAGGGGTTTTTAAGTCCTGGACTGATATGCTTAATGTTCACACGTGTGTACAAACATGCCCACACTCACTTGTAAACACCCTCTTAGACCATACACTCATTTGCACAGTAGTGACTGCTGACAATACACCACAAATGTATTTTCAAACAGCAGCATGGAGATTGTCACTTGTAACTCAGCTGACGTTGTACAGCCTCCTATCCTAGGGAAGAAAATCATAGACATGGATCCTTTTGTTGAAGGACTTTAATACACAGCAGTCTGGAGAGGAAAAAGAGAAAGGTGTAGAAAAGTACTATCATTTCAGTTGTCAAAGAAAGGAAAAACAGGGAGGTGGTAATTGGAGAGGTATGTGTTTGTAAAATGATTGTTCATGAAAGAAACCCAAGAAACTGGTCCAAAGTTGTATTTGTGCAAAGGGACAAAGGATCAGAGTTGAAGACAAACTTACAGAAGAAAAAGTATGATTTTTTTTTTTACCATATACATTTTATTTTATTAAAAAGAATAATGTCCAGAAGCAGGTAGCACTGTCCACATTGTAAATATAAAGTATTGGCAAGTAAAGCTTGAGCCAGTCATCCAGATTATTAATGCAAGTCAGGAAGAGATGGTATGAGGACCTAGTCATCCTGGCTTTGAGTCCACCTTTCTTTGGGAGAATGGGAAGTGTGTATTCTCTTCCTTTGGTAGGTTTTGCTGTTGTGTATCAACAGAAAGATGTGAAGAATGGTATGGTTGGCATTGATCTACCATCTTGGAAGAAAATTCACTAGAAAGCATTAAAAGATCCTGTTTTTTCTCCCTTCAGAAGAGGAACGTTTATCACTGCAACAAATGCCGGCTGCAGTTTCTCTTTGCGAAGGACAAAATTGAACACAAGCTTCAGCACCATAAAACCTTCCGTAAACCCAAACAGCTGGAAGGTTTGAAACCAGGCACCAAGGTAAAGGGTTTGTCAACATTTCCTTTACAGATTCAGAAGAGGAATAGAGATTTTCAGTATCTGATGTCTAATTGTTCCTTCCCTTGACCCACAGGTGACAATCCGGGCTTCCCGAGGGCAGCCACGATCTGTTCCTGTCTCCTCCAATGAAGCACCTCCCAGCACCTTGCAGGAGGCAGGACCACTGACCTCGTCAACGGACCCTTTACCAGTCTTCCTTTATCCCCCCATCCAGCGCAACATCCAGAAGAGAGCTGTTAGGAAAATGTTAGTGCCTTCTGCTGGGGCTTGGGTGGGCACAGCTATTCTTCATCCCAGTGTAATCTGGTAGCCTTTTAATAGGATCTGTGGTCTAAAGTTCTTACATTTGGGGTGCCCAGAGGCAGTTATAAAAATCTTCCTATTTCTTGACAGGAGTGTTATGGGCCGGCAGACGTGTCTGGAGTGCAGCTTTGAGATCCCAGATTTCCCAAATCATTTTCCTACTTATGTTCACTGCTCTCTGTGTCGCTATAGCACCTGCTGTTCTCGAGCTTATGCCAATCACATGATCAAGTAAGTCATGATAAAACCAGTATTTCTCTCTGTGAATTCAGATTCTCCAGAACTCTTTTTATTCCTTCTCCTGTTTATGGTATATTTTCTCCTTCAGTTCTTAGAGCTGTTTTGTCCTTCTCTCTGAGCAGAGTGAGAAGCCAGCCCATGTTCATTTGTCTTTGATGGACTGTGCTGCGATTTTGTGGAACCTTCTACTCAAAGTGTGGTTCAAGGACCAGCAGCACAACACAGAAGCTCATTAGAATTGCAGCCTCTGGGTCCAGCCCCAGGCCTTCTCAATCACTCTTTGCATTTTCATAGACCCTAATCCTAACCTTCCCTCACTGTGATTCATATGCATATTAATAAAAATACTTATATGATAGGAAAAGTTTTGAGGCATCTCTCTTTTTTTTAATTCTCACCTGAGAATATGTCTTAATTGATTTTTTTTTTTTTTTTTTTTAAAGTGAGAGGGAGGAAGGAGAGAGGGAGAGAAAAACATCAGTATGAGAGAAACATTGATCGGTTGCCTTATATATTCACCCTGACCAGGGGTTGAACCCACAACCTAGGTATGTGACCCAATGGGGAATCAAACCTGAAACCTTTTTGGTGTACAGGTTGATGCTCCAACCGACTGAGTCACCTGGCCAGGACAAGAGGCATCTCTTTTGTTGGGTCATTGTCAGTCGCTGGTGATCTCTAGTTTAGTCAATGGAACCCTGTAACTCATACCACTTTGTGTCTTTCTCAGCAATCATGTTCCACGGAAGAGCTCCAAGTATTTGGCTTTGTTTAAAAATTCTGTGAGGTAAGGAAAAACTTTTTGATGGTCTCTGGATTTTTCATGTTTTTACATTAGATCCTTTTAACTCTTTTGGGATGGGTGGGTATGTGAATTAATTTGTGAGAGAGAAGAAAGGATACGCCTTATTAGAGATATTAGAGAGAGAGGGGAAGGGAGAGGGAGAGAGAGATGGAAACATCAATGAGAAAGAACATCAGTTGGCCACCTCCTGCATGCCCCCCACTGGGGATCAGGCCCACAGTCTGGGCATGTGCCCCAACTAGGAATCAAGCCAGCAACCTCTTGGTGCATGAGTCAATGCTCAGCCGCTAAGCCAAACTGGCCTGCCCAGGCTTCTTTTTTTTTTTTATCCTCACCTGAGGACATTTTTCAGTATTTTGTTCAGATAGAATGGGGGGGGGGGGGGAGAGAAACATCAACATGAAAGGGACATATCAAGTGGCTGCCACCCGCACGACCCAACCAGGACTGGGGACAAACTGCAGCCGAGGCACATGCCCTTAGTGGGAACGGACCACAGGCCGACGCTCTAACCACTGAGCAAAACTGGCCAGGGCCAGGCTTCTTTTTTAAGTCTCAAAGCATAACTGCTGTATTTGACTCTTGGCTCTTTCTTAGGGGAATCAAGCTGACTTGCACTTCTTGTACCTTTGTTACCTTTGTGGGAGATGCCATGGCCAAGCATTTGGTTTTCAACCCTTCTCACAGATCCAGCAGCATTCTGCCACGAGGTAAGTAGGAGAGATCGGGGTTAGCAGGACAAGAGGAAGAAAAGATAGGAGTACAGGTGATGTTACATGAATTAGGAGCATCCCTACCCGGCTTAATTCATTCACTGTTTCGACATACTCCACAAAATTGGCAGCATTCTAACCTGAAGTTTATATAAGACTTGAGTAGAGATAGTACGTTTGCCTTTTTAGTTAAAATGCCAAGATATTGTCCCTAGACGACTTGTTTCTTCACTGAGTTAACTTTTTTTTATTGTCTCATTTTTCATAGCACTCACTTGGATATCTCACTCAAGGTAAAAGAAACTCACTTCATGGTTTAATTTCTATTTTGTAGTGTGTTTGGTTTTTATTATTATTACTATGCTATTATTTTGTATTCCTGGTTTAACTGAGGTTTTTCTTCCTCTCTTTCCTAACCCTTAGGCATGGCCAGACTCGTGACCGAGTGAATGACCAGAATTTGAAGAATATGTACCCTCCTCCTTCCTTCCCCTCTAATAAAGCTTCCACTGTGAAATCTGCGGGGCCCACTCCAGCTGAGCCTGAAGAGCTACCAACACCCATGGCCCAGGCACTCCCGTCACCAGTTTCAACTGCAACCCCACCACCAACCCCCACTAACCCCCAGCCATTAGCCCTTCCACCCTTGGCTATAGAGGGGGCCGAATGTCTGAATGTTGATGATCAGGATGAAGGGAGCCCAGTCACCCAGGAACCTGAGCTAGCCTCAGGGGGTGGGAGTAGCAGTGGGATTGGTAAGAAGGAGCAGCTGTCTGTGAAGAAGCTTCGAGTGGTACTGTTTGCCCTATGCTGTAACACAGAACAGGCAGCTGAACACTTCCGAAACCCACAGCGACGCATCCGCCGTTGGCTTCGGCGCTTCCAGGCCTCGCAGGGGGAGAATCTGGAAGGCAAATATCTGAGCTTTGAGGCGGAAGAGAAACTGGCTGAGTGGGTGCTGACCCAACGAGAGCAACAGCTACCAGTAAATGAGGAGACCTTGTTCCAGAAGGCCACCAAAATAGGACGTTCTTTGGAGGGGGGGTTTAAAATATCTTACGAGTGGGCTGTGCGTTTTATGCTGCGGCATCACTTGACTCCCCATGCCCGGCGTGCTGTGGCCCACACCCTACCTAAGGATGTGGCAGAGAATGCAGGACTCTTCATTGAATTTGTACAACGGCAGATTCACAACCAGGACTTACCTTTGTCAATGATTGTGGCCATTGATGAGATCTCCTTGTTTCTGGATACAGAGGTATTGAGCAGTGATGACCGAAAGGAGAATGCCCTGCAGACAGTGGGCACAGGGGAACCTTGGTGTGATGTGGTGCTGGCCATTCTGGCAGATGGCACTGTCCTCCCCACCCTGGTTTTCTACCGAGGACAAGTGGATCAGCCTGCTAATGTACCAGACTCTATATTGCTAGAGGCAAAGGAAAGTGGCTATAGTGATGATGAGATCATGGAGCTGTGGTCAACCCGAGTGTGGCAGAAGCACACCGCTTGTCAGCGCAGCAAAGGCATGCTCGTGATGGACTGTCATCGCACTCACTTGTCAGAAGAGGTGCTGGCTATGCTTAGTGCCTCTAGCACTTTGCCTGCAGTGGTCCCAGCAGGTTGTAGCTCCAAAATCCAGCCATTAGATGTATGCATCAAAAGAACAGTCAAGAACTTCCTGCACAAAAAGTGGAAGGAGCAGGCTCGGGAAATGGCAGATACTGCATGTGATTCTGATGTCCTGCTACAACTGGTAGTGGTCTGGCTGGCTGAGGTGTTGGCTGTCATCGGGGACTGTCCAGAGCTAGTTCAGCGATCTTTCCTTGTGGCTAGTGTTCTGCCTGGCCCTGATGGCAACATTAACTCACCTACAAGAAATGCTGACATGCAGGAGGAGCTAATTGCCTCCCTAGAGGAGCAGCTGAAGCTGAGTGGGGAACAGTCTGAGGAGCACTCGGCTTCCACTCCCCGACCCAGGTCATCTCCTGAAGAGACAACTGAGCCTGAAAGCCTTCACCAGCTCTTTGAGGGTGAAAGCGAGACCGAGTCCTTCTATGGTTTTGAAGAAGCTGACCTAGATCTGATGGAGATTTGAGTGTTAGGGTCTTGAGGGCGTGGGGGTGGGAAAGTGTGAGGGAGGGTAGAGGGGTTTAGGGAAAAGGGGGTATACCAGGTGGAGTATTTGGTTTATATTTTTTTAATTTTATGCCACCACTGCCCCCTGATGTTGACTTATACTTCCCTGTGGATTTGTGGATTATTAGGAAAACCAATAGTGATCACGTCTGAGCCGAGGAGCTGGCCCATTGGTCATTCATTTATGATAAAAACAGGTTTTTGTGACTTTTTAAAAAAAAAATTTAAATCACTGTGTTTGGTATTTTTCTGACAAAATCAAGAAAAGAAAAAAAAAATCCTTTGTGGATGAATGTTAAATTTTTTGTTTCCCCTTTTACCTCAATTGTATCATAGTACATCTGGGTTTGTTTTACTATGTGGCCAATGTCTTTGGGCATGATGCTATCCAACCATTGTCAATGTGAGAACATTTCTGAAGATGGGAAAGAAAAATATGTAGCTCACAAACTGGTTTATTATATATATGGATAAAAAACTTTTTTCATTGTGGTCTTAACACTTTTATATAAAAATGAAAATGGAAAAAAAAAATCCCACTGAACTCTCTCTTCCTTCTCCTTTCTTACCTTCCCTCTCCAGAGAAGTTGGTTTCTACAGCAACTTGATATAAAATTGTGGCTTTAAAAATGCATGAAACCACCTTTAATCATCCAGAATGATGAATAGATTTTTTTTTCTTCCCAACAGAAACATGACAAAACCAATACTCTTTGCACTTGCAGTCCTTGGCCCCTTTCCCCCTTCTCACACCATCACTCTGGACAAAGGATCATACATGTCATTAGCAAGCAAGAGGTCCTGAGGTGATCAGTGTTAGGGCGGAAGCCATTCACAGCCCCTACTTTGTTGAACTTCATCTTAAGTGGACAGTGCTTGTTCAAGAGACCACATTCCTACAGCCAGGAGCTAAATTGTGCAAGAAGTGTTGAACTTGAAAAAGGAAAGACAGACCACTTGTTGAAATCCTGCTTACCCAGTGGCTTTCTCCTATTTCTCTTAATGCTTAGAGAAGAATCTGACCTGAAGAAGAAATACATGGGGGTGTGCACAAAGAAAAAGACATGAATCTATTTTTCACTGCCAGCTTCAAGGAAAGAAAAAATTTTTCTACAATTTGCATGAGGGATTAAAAAAAATTTGTACTCATGGTTATAAACTGAAATGTACTGTAACATAGAAAAGGAGCAAAAATCCAGGTCCACCTTTCCCACAGCTACACCATTCTGTCCATCCTGAGTCTCTCAGCAATGTTTCCTTCCTGAGCCAAGAAGGCACAGGCTTGTAAATGATTCATCTTTAAAATGTACATAAGTGGAACATTTTAATAAAATGAGGGGAAATGAGTTTATAAACAATTTTTCCCCCCCTAGGTGAACCTATTTTAATAGGCTTTCACAGACTGGCAGATGCTAAGATGTGATGGGCCTGGTGGTACAGGTGTGACATTTGTTACCACCTGTTTCTCCTCACCCCCATTTTTTGTTTTTAATCCCCAGAACACTATAATATAGTGAACTGGAGGGATCCCTCCCATAAATAGCTTGGCCAGCTTTGTGAACCTGTGGCATCTAAAAACTGAACTGAGGAACTGTCTGGGCTTCTCTTCCCCAGCTTTTTGCCTGATGCCATTTTGACAGAATTATGGAGTTTCAAGTCAACCCTTTGCCTTTCAGGAAGATCAAGAACTATGGTCAGCTCTATCTACAATGACCTAATCCTTCTCTTTGGTAGTCTCCACAGCAGCTCAGCCTTAGCAGAGCTGGGTTCCTGGCCTCTGCACACTGAATGACTTTCTTGATGGGTAATTTTTTTTAAGATCATATTACCAACAGTGGGTCTGCTGGGTTTGGCCAGGAAGTTATTGTGGATTCTGCCTGCATGGCTTAGTAGTAGAAGGTTGGTTTTTTTTTTGTTTTGTTTTGTTGTTTTTTTATAACTCAGTTTAATCAATAAACAAGTATTTATTGACTACTTTCTGTGTTGAGATTGTGTAGAATATTCACACTGGAAGCTCATGGTTTTCTTTTACTTGAATATAGTTTGTTGTAATCATGGATTATAATCAAAGTGATGCTTTGTATTTTTGGGTTTGCTGTCTACTACTTTCTCAAAAAGAGATTTAGGATATGTATCAGAATTACCTGGGGTGTTTATTTTAAAATTAGGGTTTAACACCATTCCAGGGGTGGAATTCGACTAACAACTCCCAACTGATTTGACACAGCTACACTTAGGACATTTTAGTGAACACAAAATGTGTAAAAAATGTTTGAATTTTTACTTAATCTTTATTGTTGAGAGTATTACAGATGCCCCCTCCTTTTTCCCCATTGTCCCCCTCCACCTGGTTCCTGCCCCACCCCAGGCCACCATCACCACTCCATTGTGTCCATGGGCAATGCATATACATAAGAGGTTTTCTGTTGGAGCTAGAAAATAGCAATACATTTCAACAATAAACTTTCAGGTTAAATGCTGAAATTACTTAGTCTATATGGAAGTTGAATGGGAGAACTGAGACTATATTTCCAGTTTGGGGGTAGCCTTATGCGGAACAGCTCTACTAGCTGCTACATTTTCTCTTTGAAATGGTGTTTTAACCAAAACTACACTCACAGCCAACATTAACCAGAAACTGCATTTTAGAATCTAGTGCATGGGTGGAAATGTCGAAGAAAAATATTAAACACAAAAGCCAAAATTAGGTTATCCCACAAGGATTAAGCCTGGCTTCTATACAAAGCTGCCTTCACAAATGAAGACAGTAGTGGGTCTTATTGTCATACAGAGAACTTTGTGCTGTAAGAACTATAAGAACCAAGAGCCGAAGGGTTCTCTGATTAGGGACAGAGATGGCACATGGCAGTACTTAAGTGTTTTCACTCTTGGTGTGACCTAGTCAGACAAAATACAACTACTCAGCAAGTGTTTCAAAAGATTTATTTTACAAAAGAAGAGTCTACCTTTGACCCAGCCAAATTCAAAGTTGGAAGAAGGGTACAACTTCAGTTCTAGACAATGTGTCTGTATTTCATTCAAAGCCACTAAAAAGGAAGAGAGCAAAGTAAGTTTGTGAAGCAACAGGGAGAGGAATCAATTCCTAAAAGCAGTTTTATGCAACCAAAATGCATTCCACCCAGAGAATTTTGGGGTTGAGATGTCAAATAAAAACCGGCTTGGTGCAAGCCAAGGGGCTTCCCAACTCTTCTACCACTACTTTTTTCTACTATAATTTTCATTTCAATCACCTGATCATGTGGGCAATATCCCAGTTGGTTTCTGCAGACAGCGGTCCCTCTATTTCAACACCTTTTTCGGTTACTGTGGCGATTTGAAACTGAAAGAAAGCAGAGCTCTCAGTAAAAAGGCCCACCCCCAAAAGAAAGAAGTCTCTGGGGCCTGGTCAAAGATCAAGCAGAGAGCCTCTCCCTAATATGAAAATACGAGACAGAGAAATGGGGCAAACTGTTCTTCAAAGCGCAGAGACCCCAGGCATTTGCAAGTATTCAGAACGTGCCAATTAGATCCCCTTCACCTTTCTTATTCACTCCCCTCCTCACCCGGTTATAAGAACGGGCATCTCGATAGTACAGCACTCTCATGCAGCGTTCCACTAGCTCTCGGGCCTCAGTCTGGCTCAGCACTGGTTGCTTCTCCAGAATTTCTCGAAGCAGAGGCTAGGGAGATTAGGGAAAAAACATGGGAGATTATCAGGGACTGAATACCAGGCTATATCTCTCAAATCCATGGTGTAATATGCACAAAGGAATGAAAATATAACATTCCACCTACTGCCTCACCAGAATAAACTTTATCTGTGCTAAGACCCACGTGAATAAGTTCTAGGGTGTCCTCTCTTTTTTTAATTTATTTTTGTTACAGATGTTTTTCCTTCCCCCCCCCTCCCCACCCCGTCCCCAGCTGTGTTGTCCAAGTCCACGTTCATGCACACATGCATATAAGTTCCGTGGTTTATCTCTCCCTCACCACCCCTTCTTCTGGGGATTGTCGGTCTGTACCCCACTTCCACGTCTCTGGGACTACCCCATTCCTCAGACTGTTATGTTCATTATATTCCACAAATAAGTGAGATATGATACTTGTCTTTCTGTTTGGCTTGTTTCGCTTAGGATGATTAGGGTTTCCTCTCTTTGCACGTGTCTACTGACTCCTGGACATCCTTATCAACAAAATGTAAGTGCCACCCACATAGCCTCTGGACTACAAAGAGAACCATCTGCCCAGCAACAGGGATCCTATCCTGTTCCTCGTGTCAGAATTATGTCAGAACAAGTACACAACCACTAACCCCCATTGCCTTCTCTCTTCCCCTCTTCCCCCACCTCTCATTACATACCTGAGCCAAGTATGCACCATAACCAGTGGCCAGTGAAGGGGCTTCATAGGCTACACCAAGCATGTCCACATAACCGAGGAAGCTAACAGGACACAATAGATCAAAGAACTAATTTCATTTTAGGTTCTTTATCTTAGCTTAAGTATGGGACCATGGGATCTAAGTTAGAACTGGGATTTACTCAGGGGGTAAAGATACATATACACACTACACAGGCACTACAGGGTAGGTTGTCAAGGAAATGTTATTTGTATTCAAATCAACCTCTCTCCGTCAGAATAGCCTCCAATGACCATGGTGTTCCACAGGGGGTTCATCTTGGAGCGGCGGCTGTACATGGCCCTAGTCAGCCATGAATGAATAGCTCTAGGACTATAGCTGTGTCCATCTCCCAACAACTCCTCATCAATCCTTAAAAAGAAATGGTTGTGAGAATATTAAAGCTGGGATCTCCACTCCACATCTTTCACCCCCAACAATTCTCCCTTTATTCTGCAGCAGCCTCAAATCCCTGCACCTCAGAACTTCTTGAGGAGATTAAAAAAACAGCGGATTCCCCTCCCCACTTGGGAACTACGCTCTATTCTCTAGATGACTTACACCATCTGGCCGAGAACTTGCTTCAGATAT